GAACGGCAACTGCGCACGTGCGTATTGCATTCTACAAATCTTTGTTATTAAACGCAAGTTGTAACATTTTACACACAATTTTCGTGTAAATATCTGTGCGAAACACGCGCGGAGCGGCGCGTGCGTGCATCAGTACGGAGCGGCAACAGCGCACGAAGGAACGGCAACAGCGCATGACGAACACTAAAATATTGTAAAACAGTTTGACCTTTTTGTAATTGAGGGTACACTGACCTGTTTACTATTCCGACAATGGCTGGTAAATGTATAAACGTACAAGTAAATACACAGATCTCGCATTTAATCGACAGGTCGTTTTTAGCGGCGGGCTGGAGCCGTACACGGGCGAGACGGCGTCATCGAGGACGAGTGGTACCGCCAACACCAAAAGGCGGAAGAATGGGGCCCGGGTACATGGAAACGATGGGGGCCAGAGATTGTACGGTGAGGCATTGCGACGGTCAGGAAATACATAGACATATCAATTAGTTAAAGCGAAGGTTAAGCAAATCGTTTTTGGTCATTATAGTGGAGGGCTATCCGAAGCCGTGGAACCGGAGGACACCGTCGCCGGCAGGGCGAGCTCACGGCAGAGATTCGCCGAACTGGGCACGGGCGGCTGGCGGTGCGAAGGGGCAAGTTCGATCCTTGTGCTTTACTTTCGCCAGATTAGGGAACAAGATTAGTTGTAAGGATAAATAAAGTTGTGTGATTTATTAATAACAATTTTCGAGTAATAGGTGGGGAGAGATGTAATACATAATGTATGTGCGTACGTCTAGCAAGTGTCGGGTTACCGCAGCGATATCTGTATGGCATCCATCCGGAATAAATTGTGCTAACAAAACTTCGTCTAATTTCTCATCCTTGCTTTCAACGCATCAATGACATTTCCTGTCAAAATTGGTTTAGACGTTCATGATAAAGGCAATCTTAATAAAAAATCTTATACGACGTTGAGAATAAAAATATTCCTCGGTAATTAAAAAGGTATAAAACATTAAAAAGACATAAATCTGTCTATCTTTAGCTTTTAGTACAAAAATTAACAAAAATTTACTTTTAGCTACAAATTATTTTTCAACTCGGTTGTTAAAACATTTACATGGAAGTTAAAAGAACTGAGAACCTCTAAAAGCTTTGAGCCATAATTAAAAAGATATTACGGACAGAGCGGCGGCGGCCGGTTCCCGCGCTTTTTATGCCATTATTTGTTTTTTCTTTCTTATTTACTAAGTTTCATTCAAAGTTGATAATATTAAATGATTTTTAATAGAAATTGACAAAACAAGACTATTTCAAGAATATAATAATTAAATACCCCAAAATTTTTAAAATATCAAACCATTAAAGGACATAGTCTAATTTACAGCCGAATATTAAAACGAATCCTAAACACTCTCCGTCGTAAGCGTCGTTTACAATCTGATAGGCGTCAAATTTTTAATGGAATTTGAAATATAAGTGATCTTAATTATTAAGACGCTGTTACACATTTTAATGTTTTCAGTATCCAGCCGTTAGAAATATAAAAAATACAAGCTCAAAAATTAATACTACACGAAGAGAAATACTAAGTAACAAATGAAATAATACCAACGAAGACTTTAAAACATTTTCACATCAGTGGAATTGAATCCCCTTTACAACTCCCGCAGCTGTAAAAGGAATGAAGCCGTGATCATTTCGCCCGACACTCCCCTCCCCTGGGCGACGGGTATTTGCATAAAAATTGAAAAAAGTAAAATAATATGAGTAAAGCATAAAAATCGCGCGCTAGGTAATACAATACTCGTCTTGATTATTCCTAACTCATAAAATTAGTGACTTGAAAGGAGATAGAAAATAACTCGGCTTTAGTTGAAGTTAGTGAATTACTCATAACAAAACAATAAACGATTTGCTTTAAAATATTAAGTATATTTACTACTTTTTGAGATCTATTTAAGGTCTTTCTTAGTATTTCTTTAGAGATATTGATGAATTTGAGACGTTAACAAATAGCAAATACAATATATAATATTTCAGTTTTTCCACCTCATCGTACACTATACAGTATAAATTGATATCGTTTATTCTGGAGAATTCCATTACAGCGGCCCACGGATGGGTGACCGCGCCACACATTGGGCTGTATCCAGTTGCTCCATAGACAACTTTATCTGATGTTTGAAATGTCT